CTCTCTGGTGGTATCCAGGAGAGTGTGCACAAAAATCCTTCTATCCTCCTGGCCTCACGTCAGCCCCCTTTACTTCCGGGACTTTGCTCTCAGAAACCCACATTCTCCGCAGATCCCAGAAGACAGCCTTTGGCACTGTGTTGACACGATGGTATGCGTCTTATCATTTGTTAGCATCGAACTGCCCTCCACACACACCACATCCGGCCATCCTGCAGCTCAGCATTGCTACAGATACTCTTCATATTCCTATTTCTACTACACTGTTCCCACGGGTATGTTCTCCATCGAAGCAGAATAAATTGTACACGTTAGGCATATCTGGGGCCCACCTGAGAAGTACCTGGGGAACCCCAGCGTGCCATGTCCTGCTCGTTGAGAACCATGGGTCCAGAGCCTGAAGTTACCGAGACAGTTTTACCAGCTTCATTCCAAAGAACACACCGAAATTCATACTGATGAGCGGTGTAAAAACTTGGTGCCTTCTGTTAGAACGTTAGAATGGATAACTAGGCTCCCGCCACACTAGCCTGGTTTCACTGTTTTGGTTTCTCGACCACACCAAGTGCGTTTACGTCCCAGAGGCTTTGCTCAAACTGTCCATGCTACTTGGATACCCTCCCCATAGATCTTGATATTGCTGTTTCTCTTGTATCATCCAGGATTGAGTTTGAACATGACCTTCCCAACCACCTGTCCGAAGTACCTCATGCATTTCCAGTTGCTCTCTGGCATGTTGCCCCATTTTGTGTATCTGTGGGTGCTTGGCAAGTTACCATATTTATATGCTTACTGTTAAGGTTGGTTTCAGGGTGAGTAACGTGTAGTCTCTCACATCTCCACACTTTGAAGCACGCTCCATGGGGTTTAATGCTCTCCTGTTGCCATCATGAAATTTTTAATGGTTTTTATCTTCCCCTGGAGACCTGCATTTTCATTTTGCATCTTAGGTACAAAATGCTGGGGCGCCTGGGTGGCTCAGTCGGTTAAGCGTCCGACTTCAGCTCAGGTCATGATCTCATGGTCTGTGAGTTCAAGCCCCACGTCGGGCTCTGGGCTGATGGCTCAGAGCCTGGAGCCTGCTTCTGATTCTGTGTCTCCCTCTCTCTCTGCCCCTCCCCTGTTCATGCTCTGTCTCTCTCTGTCTCAAAAATAAATAAACGTTAAAAAAAAATTAAGGGGCGCCTGGGTGGTGCAGTCGGTTAAGCGTCCGACTTCAGCCAGGTCACGATCTCACAGTCCGTGAGTTCGAGCCCCGTGTCGGGCTCTGGGCTGATGGCTCGGAGTCTGGAGCCTGTTTCCGATTCTGTGTCTCCCTCTCTCTCTGCCCCTCCCCCGTTCATGCTCTGTCTCTCTCTGTCCCAAAAATAAATAAACGTTGAAAAAAATATCTTTTTTTAAAAATTAAAAAAAAAATTAGGTACAAAATGCTTTTTTTTTTTTTCTCACTGTTTCTTTGCTAATAGAGTACACGCCCTAGGAGAACAGGGATCTTCTCTCTTTGCTTCCATATTGTGTTACCAGCACTGTAGGGAATATCACAGGTGCCCAATAAATATGTGTTAAAAAGTTAACCATGCGATTATCATATGACCCAGCTATTTTATTCCCAGGTATATAACCAAGAGAATTGAAAACAGGTGCTCAAACAAACACTTGTACACAAGTCTTAGAGTGGCACTATTTACCATAACCCGAAGGTGGAAAGAACATGAATGTCCATCAACTGATGAGGGGACAAACAAAATGTGGTATGGCCACACAATGGAATATTATTCAGCCATGAAAAGGAATGAAGTACTGATACATGCTACAACACAGATGAACATTTGCCTTAGTTAAAATATTATGTTAAATAAGTCAGACACAAAAGGTGACATGTTATATAATTCTGCTTTTATGAAATAACCAGCACAGGCAAAATTCCTAAAGATAGGAATCAAACTGGTGGCTGCCAGAGGCTGGGAGGGGCAAAAGAGGAAGAAGAGGCTGCTTAATGTATATGGAATTTTATTTTGGGGTGCTACTGCTGCTTGGAACTGGATAGCGATGGTGGTTGCACAACAGTGGGAATATATTAAATGCTGCTGAATCATTCACTCTAAAATGGTTAATTATGGAGCGCCTAGCTGGCTCAGTCGGGGGAACAAGTGACTCTTGATCTTGGGGTTATGAGTTCGAGTCCATGTTGGATGTAGAGATTACTTAAATAAATAAAACTTTGAAAAATAAAATAAAATGGCTCATTATGTGTTTAAAAATGATTAATTTTATGTTGTATAAATTTTACCTCAATTTAAAAAAAGAAGACTGAAAAAGAAAGTTACAAAACTACAAAACTTGTTTCAGAACTCTTTCCATGACTAAGCCCAGAGTATTCTTAACCTAGTCTGGGGCTTCAACAATTTCAGTTCAAAGCTTTGAGTCTGTATGAAGATAAGAACACATTTACACCATTATTTGGAAAAACATTTGAAACATTTGCTTCCAACAAGGTGACACAGGACATTATTATTATCATAACGCTAACCCTATGACTACTTCTTTGGGTATTGTTTTCGTTTGTTGGTCTCATGCTATTTTTATTAAAAAAAAATATTTTTGAGATAGTTGTAGATGCATGTGCCGTTGTAAAAAAGTATACAGAGAGATCCCGTGTTCCTTTCTCCCCAGTTTCCCCCAGTGGTACCATCTTGCAAAGCTAGAGGATAACATCACAACCAGGAAACTGACATTGAAAATAATCCATCTAACTCCATCAGATTTCAGTGGTTTTACATGTACTCATTTGTGTGTGTGTGTGTGTGTGTGTGTGTGTCCTGCTTTCATATTGAAGTAGAACAATAGTTCCTTTTAGTACTGTAGTCTGTTATCTAGTAAGAAATTCCAGAGAGATTGTGGCACCACCAGAGTAACCACAAGTAAATGGTTCCAAATACAAGTTAAAAGAAAGAAGTATTTCTAAAGTAGTGGCAGGGGCTTAGCAGTCTGGAACCTGTTAGTTCAACCATGCCTTTTATATACACTTGACCCTTTCAGCACCATGGTTCTTAGAAGGGCTGCAGTATTCTGTTCAGTTCAACAATCTGAGGGACGCGGTACAGTAAGACTTTATTCTGTCATTTGAGAAAATAGGCAACATAAAAGTTGACAAACATTGAGTGGTAGCCCAAAAAAGATGCCAATTAGTTTGTTTTTAGTTACGAATAAAACTTGTTAGTTCAGCCTGCTAATATGTAATTGGAACTAGAACCTCAGGAGAACTAATAGACATAAAGACACTTTCAGTGCTTACTGTAGGGTCTTTTGTGTGTTAATTATGAGTTCATTTGAAGATTCTAGTGAATACTCTTTTCTAAATGATATTGGTTGAAGGATTAGACATCTCATTTTTGCCTACTTGGCATCCATCCCACCATCTTCTACTATTGGCATGTACATTTCCCTTTGGGGGGCTGCTCATCTCCTCTCCTGATCTAGTTGCTTTGGTGGTGCTATCCACAAACCCCCCACCTCCCCCCAACCCCAACACACACTCATGGCTCACAGGATGAGCCCATGACTCAATCAACACATTCCATCCCTGTGGACAAAACAATTAGTTCAGAAAATATACACACTCAAAACTGGTCACAGAGATGTAATCCCTGATCTCTTGCCAGAATGATTAGGACAAAGGGTACTTTTCCAATGGACTTGAAAGTACTCATCTGAAGACAGAGAGCATCAGTGAACACCAGCAGGGCAAGCATGCTGTATATGAAGCCAACATGGAAGAGTGAAGACCTGACAGTTCTACATGAGCATCTTGAACCAGCTATACCTGAAGCTCTGAACTTAGCAATCACATGAACTAATAAGAGGATAAACTACTTTTTGTGTGTACCTAAATGAATCTGAGTTTGTTTGTTTATTTATTTATGCATGGCTTGTCACTTGGACCTCAGTGAGAAGGATCAGTGGCAAATAACATTTACTAGGTTACACGTGGGGCCATAAATCCTTAAGCGAATTTATTATTTGTCCTCTCATCATTCAGCAATTTTCTTATCTTCTCGTTCATCTGAACTACCGCCTGCAATAATTCGCCTGACCCACGGCTCTGATGCTTAGTGTAAAAGAAGTATCTCAAGTAGAGTAAATGAACGGCACTGCGAGTACATTAATGCCTCTGACCCTGTAACGTGCTCTTTTAAAGAGGTTATGCATGTGCCGTGCTGCAGCTGACAGTCTGTACTGCTTATTTAAGTTCCATAATAAAAAGGCGGGGGCCCTCATTGTTTATTTATATGATGCAGGCAGCCTCTCTCTAAATCCTAATTCAATCTTCAGTCACTGTTTCGTAGGCTAGGAGCTCTAATGACTGCACGAGAAATGTTTGCTGCCTCAGATGGTGCTATTAAAAGAAAACTGTTCCCAAAGAAATTCTTACCTCCTGATGGGGGGGAGAGCTAAATCACTATAAATTATGGAAGAGGAAATTGCCAATGCGTCTTGCTTTCTCTTTATTGGAGGCATTGTTTTATCACAACCGTCAAGCAGAGCATACACCTATTTTGAAAAGCTTTTTACAGCTTTGAATTAAGCACAAATGAAGAAGTAAGAGGCTGCATAATCAGAGGCGCTAACAGAGCACTGCTCTGCAAGGCAAAGGCAGGGTTTTACCATTACGCTTTCATTCATGAACGGCACCAGCAAGGCACAGACTGTGCGCAAGGAGAGAAAGCCACCGCAAGATACAGTTCAGGGAAACAACCAAGGAGATCACCAGAGACCTGGAAGGAGAGTAAGAAGCATCTTGAAAAGAACAGCTGAGACCTTTAGAATTTCATTCTCCTGGATCAAGAAAAACAACGCGACAAGGGCGGGAAGGCTGATTTGTTTCAACTGAGTAAGCATGACCAACCAATCACTCTGGCAATGTTGATGTAAACTTTGGTCTTATAAAAATCGCAGAAAGGGTGCTGCGTCTCTTTTCTGTCCGTCTCAGGTGGTGTCAATGGGCTCGGCTCCTCTGTAGCCACTGTCCACGTTAATCATGCCGTGGATGTGTTTCCGGCAAAGCCAGCAGAGGGAGTTCGAGATTAATGGGTGGGTTCCAGGATCTACCAAGAGAACCATCCTCCGTGTTCAGGACCTCCCAATCCGGTGCGTGAAGGTGACTGTCCCCATTGCCTCTTTCCCTACCCACCTCCCTTCATCTGCTTCTCTTTAACTATCTGCCCCTGCACAGCCCTGCTCCTCCTACCCAAATTGTCTGGTCATTTGGAAACATTTTACTGAAGAGTTTACAGGTTGACATTCTTGTTGGCAGATTCCATGAGGGATGAGGCATGCCCCAAAGTGGGTCAAACGTTAAAAACCATGCTGAATGAAAGAATTTGAATGCTTCAGATCTAATGGTAAGTGAAAACACCAAGTTACACAACTGCACATGTAGTCGTATCTGGGGTATATAAAGCTTATTTTTCCAGGCTTTATTTTTTCTGAAGTTTATTTTATTTATTTTGAGAGAGGGAGTGAGTGAGTGGGGAGGAGCAGAGAGAAAAGGAGAGAGAGAGAGAATCCCAACCAGGCTCCTTGCTGTCAGTGTGGAGCCGGACGTGGGACTCATTCTCAGGAACCATGAGATCATGACCTGAGCCAAAACCAAGAGTCAGACGCTTAACAGACTAAGCCACCAAGGGGCCACCCCGAGTTTTCTGTTTTGTTTTGTTTTTTGACATTTTTTTTTACATTTATTTATTTTTGAGACACAGAGAGACACAGAACACAAGCGGGGGAGGTGCAAAGAGAGGGAGACACAGAACCCTAAGCAGGCTTCAGGCTCTGAGCTGTCAGCACAGAGCCTAACGCGGGGCTCGAATTCACAAACCGCGAGATCATGACCTGAGCCGAAGTTGGACACTTGACCGACTGAGCCACCCAGGCGCCCCATTTTTTTTTATTTTTAAGTAAATTGTATCCCTGCAAATGGGATTGCATGCTCTAGTGACTTAGCCAGCCAGGTGCCCCAGAGCTTTTTTTTTTTTTTTTCTTTAATCATAGGAAAAAATAGAAGCTGTTAAAATTAACAATGGTTGAATTTGAGGCATGATGTGTGTGCCTGGGGATGTGGGATGTGAAGGATGATTTTGTTTCTTGCCATTTTTTTTTAAGTAAGCTCTACACCCAACATGGGTCTTGAACTCACCACCCCAAGACCAAGAGTCACCTGACCTACCGACCGCCATGTTTTATGCTTTATCATGTATTTCTATATTTCAAATGTATATGCTGTATGCAGTATATAATTGAATATATACAGCTTTATAGTCACAGTGAAAAATAAAAGATTGTAAATGCTTATGTATACTTTCTGTGCTTGTGTAGAATACGCTCTTCTTTATAATCCCATGGGAAATGTTCATGTGACCACACTAAGTAGCACCCCAGAAGGAAAGAAGAAAGTGAGTTCTTATTGAATCCTATGTGCTAAGGACTATGTGAGAAGCTGTAAGAGAAGAGAGAAGCTATTTGCTAGCTATTATTCCATGACCTCAGGAAGCTTATAGTCACTTATACCATCTTATGTCCTTATTGTCTGTCCAATGACTTGTATTGTTCATATGACCCTGAGACAGACAGTATTCTCTTGAGTTTGACAGGTAAGTTCGCATAGGTAAGTGACCCCGGGCCACTTAACTATTACATAGCTGACTGGAATTGCCCTGGATTTTCACTTCCAAAGATTCTCCTCCTTCCCAAATTTGAGTCATCAATAAGAGTCATAATTTTTGCCATCTGCTACCTCATAACTATTATGTGAGTTATTTAATCTTTTCTTTATATCAACATATATTGAACTGAAATTTATCTTTCTTTTAAGTTTATTATTATTATTATTATTTTTTGGTAATCTCTATACCCAACATGGGGCTCGAACTCATGACCCCAAGATCAAGAGTTGCATACTCTTCCAACTAAGCCAGCCAGGAATCCCAACTGAAATTTATCTTAAAAGAAGCTTTATACCACTAACGTAAATGCAAATTGGAATTATTATCCATAAATAAAAGATAAGCATTAAATAAGCACAGTAAAAACAAATTATTTGCTGACTTTGCTGGGAAGGCTCTGAAGCTCTCTCTTTTGTTATAAAAAGCAGAGCAGCAAGTATGAGAGATATGTTAAAGACACACTAGCACCTCACTGAGGTCCTCTGCACGTAATCAGAAGGTCTGCACCAGGACTCAAAGGAAAGGAGGTCCTATGTATGCAATTTAATGAATACCTTACATGACACCAATCAGGGCTTTCAGAAATATGATTACGTGATTCAAAACAAGAAGAATACTCCAGCCAAAGTAGAACAGGGAAACCTAGCAGTTAGAAGACAAGACTGAGGTCAAAGATGATATAAATCTAATTTTGCAACCATGAATCTCAAGATTATGGGAATATGTTGTTTTGTTTTTGTTTTTTGGATAACAAGTCATTACTTTGCAACATCAGTAACAACTGCAACGTGAAGAAGAAATTTTTTTTTGAGAGAGAGAGAGTGTGCGAGCAGGGGAGGGGCAGAGAAGAGAGAGAGAGAATCTTAAGCAGGCTGCACGCTTAGCACAGACCCTGACGTGGGGCTTGATCTCATGACTGTGAGTTCATGACCTGAGCTGAAATCAAGAGTCAGCCATTTAATCCACTGAGCCACACAGGTGCCCCCAAAAAGAAATCTTTTAGGGGCTCCTGGGTGACTCAGTCAGTTAAGCATCTGACTCTTGATTTGGGCTCAGGTCATGATTTCACGGTTTGTGAGCTCGAGCCCTGCATCGGGCTCCACAAAGATAGAGCAGAGCCTGCTTGCGATTTTCTCTCTGCCTTTCTTTCTGCTCCTCCCCCTCTCACTCGCTCTCAAAATAGGTAAATAAACTTTAAAAAATAAGTAAATAAAAATAAAAAAATAAAACAAATTATCACCCGCGTTCCAGTAATCATCTCATTCATGGCCAAGACGGAACAGAGAAGGTCGTAAGTCTTTTGACATTTCCCTGCTGCCCCCAAATTAGTTGGTTCTTATTGTCAGTAGAGGGGCAGTTCTCAGCGACAGCTCAACGACTGAGTGTTTGTCTCTTCGCTATTTAAACCACCCAAACCCTCAAATAAATTTAGTGAACAAAGCAAAGGAATCCCAACGACATTTCCTTCTATTCACAAAAACTTCAACTTTTATGTTCAGTAAATTAATGGCACTGGTTAACCAGAAAGACATTACAAAACGGGGCAGTTGTTATTTACCACAGCCATGTAATAAAGTGTCAAAGGTTATCACAACAGGATATCTGTGTTTAAATGGAAAGAGATAAAGAGACAAAGTCAAGCCAGCTATCCCTGTTTTGTTTTCCAGCTGGAGGGAAGTCTGCTGAAATAGACTTCTAAATGTCTAAAGCTGCAATCTCAGCACAGACAGTCCATTTAATGTCCGGATTCCTTCTTTCCTTCCAATTCTGAGGGACAGAGGCCAACACGAGAGTGTAAGTATTTTATGTGAGTACCTGCAATGTGTAGTATTTTACTGGCATCTTCTCCGGATCCATCTTTGGCACGCATTTTCACTCCCAACCTAGAGAAAGACGGTACTGAGGCTCTAGAAGCTTCTGGAAACAGGGCTGATGAGCCTGTGTTGATGGCTGTTTGGGGAACATGGCTTCACTTTGACCATCTCTATGCCTCTCATCTCATGATCTGCTTTCTCACAGTTTCCCCCATTGTCTATGGTGATTCCAATTACCATCATTTCTTTAAAAAAAAAAAAAAAAAGATTTTATTTTTAAGTAATCCCTACACCCAACGTGGGGCTTGAACCCGCAACCCCGAGATCAAGAGCTGCATGCTGTACTGACTGAGCCAGCCAGGCGCCCCTAACAATGCTTCAGCTATATTTTGAAAGTGGCATGTCTTTGGAGAACCACTCATCCCTCTCTGTCTCTTTCACTTACAGATGAAAGACACTGGACCTTAGAGACGTTTAGGCTGCATATGTAATAAACGGTCAGTTGGATTGGAACCCACATCGGTTCTGTTCCTAAGCTGATGTTCTTTCTCCCTTGTGCCTTGCCTTCTACCTGAAAAATAATTTTGTATTCCTTTTAAGATTGCTTTTACAGGTTCATTCGAAAAATTATTCAAACTATATGGTAAAATGCAAAATAAGAAAGCAAAAATTATTCAAATGCCCACCATATAGCAGTTAATTTTTAGATACAGTGTTTTACATTTTTTTTTAATGCAATTTAACAAAGTTGGAATCATCCAGGAATTACATGTTTCTGTATCTTTCTTATTTTTATTCAACATATTAATGTCATTTCCTTTTTTTTTAATTATTTATTTATTTTTGAGAGACACAGAGTGCGAGTGGGGAAGGGCAGAGAGAGAGAGAGAGAGAGAATCCCAAGTAGGCTCTACCTGCATTGTCAACGCACAGAGCCCAATGCGGGGCTTGGACTCAAGAAACTGCGAGATGGTGACCTGAGCCAAAGTCTGATGCTTAACTGACTGAGCTACCCAGGCACCCCGACGACAATTTCTTATCAACTGTTTTAAGAATATGGCTGCTGACACCTGGATGGCTCCGTCTGTTAAGTGTCTGACTTGGGCTCAGGTCATGGCCTCACGGTTCGTGATTCCGAGCCCAGCTTCGGGCTCTGGGGACAGCTCAGAACCTGGAGCCTACTTCAGATTCTGTGGCCCTCTCTCTCTGCCTTTGCCCCGCTCATGCTCTGTCTCTCTCAAAAATAAATAAACATTACAAAAAAATTTAACAACATGGCTGCTGATCATTGCAAATGAGTCCTTTATATTGATGTACCAGTTAAACTCTTCGAGTAACATTTTAATACAATTTTGGTTATCAAAATCTTTCATCTTAGATGCTTATTCCATAAGTGGAATTATTACAGAAACAAGTGATAGAATTCAAAAATTAAGAACATAGTTTTTTTCATCATCAGTTGCAAGGGCAACAGTATAGGCAGCAGGGACTCCCTACATAGAGAAGATCATTACCAAAAAAATTATGTGTAATGAAGACAGTCAGTGTCGGGCTCGAACTCAAGAATTGTAAGATCATGACCTGGCCCAAAGTCAGTTGCTTATGGGGGTATAGCTCAGTGGTAGAGCATCTGACTGCAAAGTTGGATGCTTATCTGACTAAGCCACCCAGGCATCCTTACTCTTTTTTTTTTTTTAATTTTTTTTAACGTTTATTTATTTTTTTGGGACAGAGAGAGACAGACCATGAACGGGGGAGGGTCAAAGAGAGAGGAAGACACAGAATCTGAAACAGGCTCCAGCTGAGCTGTCAGCACAGAGCCCAATGTGGGGCTTGAACTCACAGACCTCAAGATCATGACCTGAGCCGAAGCCAGACGCTTAACCGACTGAGCCACCCAGGCGCCCCTGAGTACCATCTATCTTTAAAATAACAGGAGGAAAACCATAAAACAACACAACCTAAAAATGACATGTGCCAGAAGATGTTTTAACCATTTCTACCTGGAACATGAAAAGTTACTTGTAAATGGAACGTAAGATAGTACGTTATATCCAGGTTGTATCCACAATGTTCACTGACATTTTCCCAACCTCCTCCCTTGATTTTCTTGGGGGTGGACTTGAATACAGCTGCTGTAGGAGTCTAGCCAGGATTTGTTGGAGGCTGTAGTTGTCAACTTGTATCAATATCTCCTCTGTAGCACATAGTAGATAAAGTGGATAATTTTAGCATAAAGGTACTGGGGGGAAAACTGGCAGCAAGAGACCATGTACCAGCAGAGTCTCAAGAAAAAACAAATCCAATGACATCTGAATCCCTTACTGAGACGAGCAAACCTCCTAGATGTAAAAAATCACATTTGTACTTAATAACCGACTTACAACATGGGAGCAGACGGGAACCCTTCTAAGGCTGTGTGTGAAGTAGAATGTAATGTACACAGTTTGGCCCAACACCACAGCTGGCTTCTTAAAGACAAAGCATGGAACTCTCAAAATGCATCTCTTTGGGGTGCCTGGGTGGCTCAGCTGGTTAAGCAGCCGACTGGTGAGTTCAAGCCCCTCGTCAGGCTCTGTGCTCAGAGCCTGGAGCCTGCTTCAGAATCTGTGTCTCCCTCTCTCTCTCTGCCCCTCCCCTGCTAGTGTTCTCTCTCTCTCTCTCTCTCCCTCTCTCTTTCTCAAAATAAATAAATAAATAAATTAATTAATTAAAAACACACATTTAAAAAATGCATCTTCTTTAATAACACCGACATTCACCAGACTGGCTTATGGGTTGGAGAGAATTTCTCTAGAATTATTTCCCCTCTTATAAATTGCCCACATCTGGCTTATTTTGCTGAAAATTTTTTTTTCTGCCATTCAGCTTTGCCATACTTAAAAAAAAAAACCCAAAACTCCCTCCCACTGCTCCATCCCATGATCATTTACCCTTAAAGCCAAGGAACCATGTCAACTTTTGCCATGCGTGAGGGAGAGGAGAGGACAGAAGGGGAAAAAAACAACAACAACAACAAAAAAAAAAACCAAAAAAAAAACCCAAAAAACCCAGAAGTCTCAGAAGAAGAAAAGGCCCTCATCACAGCTTGGAGAGAATGTTTAGGAAAAATAAGATTTATCCCAAATCTTGAAAACTGGATGTTAGAGAACTGGGCAGACATGATTATACTGCTTTCTTGTCCTGGATTAAATTATAACCAACAAAGGATCAGTAAAATTGCAATTGATCTTGGCAAGATTGCTTCTGTTTTGTCATTCAGAGTTGAGCTTCTCAGGAGAGTTGCTTCCCTGACTTCTAGGTATAATACAGAATCTGCGTCACTAACTCGTCCTCTTCTTTTTTTTTACTTTTTTTTTTTTTTTGAGAGACAGAGACAGAGACAGAGCATGAGTGGGGGAGGAGCAGAGAGAGAGGGAGACACAGAATACAAAGCAGGCTCCGGGCTCCGAGCTGTCAGCACAGAGCCCCACGGGGGGCTCAAACCCATGAAACCGTGAGATGGTGACATGAGCCAAAGTCGGAGCTTAACCGACTGAACCACCCAGGTGCCCCTAACTCCTCCCCTTCTTTTGCTACTTTGCACAGCACTCTTGGCTATTTGTCATTTTTTGCAAGTGGGTATGTGCGCATAGTGAGTGGGTGTGCGTTTGCTTTCTATTTGCTCGGACAACAGTGACACTCCCAGAGCACAGTCCTTTTGAGTCTCAGGGCAGCAGGTACCCCACGTTGCTTACTCAAGGGATGCATTTCATTGTGCCCTTCTTCCTAATTTTGTTTTATGGAAGCAAGAGGCACACCCAAGAAAACAAATAAACAAAAACCATTACATTTCTTAGCTCCCTTGCTGCTAGGCAGCCAAGACACCGTGGGGACAGAGAGACAGGAATTGCTGAGTGGAGCTTTTCAGCAAAGCATGGTCATCGGGTGAGGAGTCCTCTGGAACACACATTTTTCCTTTTGTCATTCCCCCCTTCCTGCCTGGAATGCAGACACTGCTTGAGAGGGAGCAGCAAGCTTGGGACCACAAAGGTAGAAGCAGACAGGGTCCCTGATGGCCTCTTGGAGCCACTGTATGAGCAATGCACTGCCTATGTCTAGACTTCTAATTATGTGAGAAAAATAAAACCCTTACTTGGTGTAAGCCATCGCGTTTGATGTTTCGGTCACTTCCTGCCAAAAGTCATTCCTAGTGATATACAATAATGCTCCCAGTATACTTTGAACAGTGCCTGGCACATGGTAGACATTCAAGCTTTATGAAAGGAAGAGAAGGTGGGCCATTTAAAGCCATTCCTATCAGGTCCTAACACGACTGTGTTTGCCTTTGTAGATGCCAATTAATCGTATTTTTCAACCCTGAGGATTGTTAGGTCAATTGACAAACAGACACAGAAGATAGAGACTTTTTTTTTAAATGACCCTTCATCAAGCAAAAATAATATAAAAACTGGGAGAGGGACAAAACATAAGAGACTCTTAAATATGGAGAATAAACAGAGGGTTGCTGGAGGAGTTGTGGGGAGGGGGGGATGGGCTAAGTGGGTAACAAGCATTAAGGAATCTACTCCTGAAATCATTGTTGCACTATATGCTAACTTGGATGTAGATTTAAAAATAAATAAATTTTAAAAAGCAAATAAAATAAAATAAAATGACCCTTCGTGTATTCACTCAATATTTCTTGAGCTCCTACTATGTGCTAGACATCATGCTGGGAATTGGGGATAAAGCAACAAACAGAACCAAATCCCTGCCCTCCTGGTGCCTTTATTTGGTCAGGGAAGAAAGGCAATAAACAACATATGTATCCATGTTAGAAGTTGGGGAGCAATTTAAAGAAAGTGATCAGAGGGGCTCCTGGGTGGCTCAGTCAGTTAAGTATCCGATTTCGACTCAGCTCACCATTTCATGGTTTGTGAGTTCAAGCTCCGCATCGACTGCTGTCAGTGGAGAGCCTCATTCAGGTTCTCTGTCTCCCTCTCTCTCTGCCCTTCCCCTGAGCGCTCTCTCACGCTCTCTCTCTCAAAAATAAATAAACATCTTTTTAAAAACTTAAAAAATAGGGCGCCTGGGTGGCGCAGTCGGTTAAGCGTCCGACTTCAGCCAGGTCACGATTTCGCGGTCCGTGAGTTCCAGCCCCGCGTCAGGCTCTGGGCTGATGGCTCGGAGCCTGGAGCCTGTTTCCGATTCTGTGTCTCCCTTGCTCTCTGCCCCTCCCCCGTTCATGCTCTGTCTCTCTCTGTCCCAAAAAATAAATAAACGTTGAAAAAAAAATTAAAAAAAAAACTTAAAAAATAATAAAAACAATAAAGAAGGTGATCAGAAAAGGCCTCCCTGAGGCGTCATCCGAGCATAGACCTAAAAGAGTCACACGCGAATATCAGAGGGAGTCGAGTCCCAGGCAGGGGAACGGGCAAATGCACGGGCCTGGAGTGGACACTTAACGTGCGCCTCGGGCTTCACCATCTCAGTGTCAGCCTGACGTCAGATGTCAATTACCAGCATCCACATCTTTTTTGCCAGAGGGTTTTCTCTGGGCACTGAAGCCTGCTCTGCCCACGCATACAGCTGGCTGGTAGTGTTAAGATTAACGCTGAGTGGAGACAGGAAGGAGTTGCTGGTGTATAAACACTCCAGGCCCCCGGCCTCTCTGGAGGGCGAACGCCGAGGTGCACGTTGTCCACTGGCTCCCCGAGTTTGGCTCCCAGAATTGATATCAGGGGCCCAGAGTGGTAGCTGGTGTGGTAGCACACCTTTATTAGGAGCCTCCCCCTTCCTGTTTCCCTTCCCAATGACCCAGGGGTATTTCCTTCACTTTCCAGACAAATGATTGACATTCAAAATCCTCTTCTCCAAGTCTATTCCTGGGGGGGGGAGGGGGACACGAACTGAGAGGGGCGTGTCAGGAGGCCAGCATTGCTGTAGCTGAGGGCTGGAGAGAGGGGGAGGGGAGTGGGAAGGCAGGAAGTCACCTTGTGACATGAGGTCACGGAGCACAAAGCCCGTGGGATGCTGGAGATTTCATCTCTCACCCCAAGTGAGATGTGCCGCCAACGGAGGGGAGGGTTTGCGGTGGAGTGACGCGCTCTGACTTACGTTTTGAATGCTCGCTCCAGCTGCTGTGTTGAGAACAGATTGTAGGGGGATAATGTTGAAGCAGGAAGACTTAGGAAATTCTTCCAACGGATGCAGGTAATAGATGATGAGAGCTTGCATCGGAACAGTAGCTTTTGTTAAAGCTGGAGCGAAGAACACTGCCTAGACACAGTGCCAAAATTATCTTCTTGTCCCTGTTCACCTCGAATGAATTTATCCTCCTAGTAGAGAGCTGGAAAACCTCACAGTGCCCAGCACTGGGCAGACTCAGCACTCAGGAAGTTACCCACACCTGGGTCTGAGTCCCAGCTCCCCCTGCTTACTGCTAATGTAGCTTTGCACAAGGTGCCTCATTTCTCCAGAGCTAAAAATATTACCTCCCGGGTAGAGCTGCCGTGAAGACCAAATTAAATGAAAGAATGTTTGTAAATTGCTGAGTGCAATGCTTGGACCAATAAATTACAGCTGTAATATTATCATTCTAATTACCATATTTCATCAAATGGAAGACTCTCGTGTTAGTAATCCGTTGTTATTTATCTCCCTCCAAGGAAAAATTTAAAAAAATGCAATTGAAGTAGGACACTAGGCCTTAATGACAGTCCTGCATGACGCATGAATAAGACATATCAGTGTCTCGCTTTTCTGAAATCTCTTTCGTCTGTTTCAAGGCATTTGGCCATTTCTCCCTCCTTCAGCTGCATGGCTTGATGTTGTGATCAGAAGTACTTTTATGCCTATCTGAGAAACAGTGTGAAGTCAAGAATAATTGGCAGCTTCACTTCCTTGAGGATGCCTCGTCTTCTGAGGTTCCTTCCACAAACGTTTAGAAGAATTGATGTGTTCCTCCCTCGACGAATATCTGTTTCAATAATATCACTTGCACCCTGCTACTCTGTTTCTGCATCCACAAAGTGTGGATATAATGACTTTTCAGTTTAATGCTGAATCATTGTGTACTCTTTCATAAAGTATATCAAATGTCACTTAAATCCCACACGTATAACTCCAACAAAGTGCAAAATGTTATGGAAACAACAATGTTGAACAGGTATGACCAAGTTAACAGATTCACAGGTGAGAACAATCATGACCTAACAGAAAGGAATACACGTGTGCACCAACACTCATGTGCTAGAATGTTCATAGTTGAGAGGCACCTGGTTGACCCAGTCCGTTGAGTATCTGACTTCAGCTTAGGTCATGATCTCACGGTTTGTGAGTTTAAGCCCCACATCGGGCTCATTGCTGTCAGCACAGAGCCCACTTTGGATCCTCTGTCTCCCTCTCTCTCTGTCTGCCTCTCTCTCTCTCAAAGATGAACATTAAAAAAAAAAAAAAAAAACACACACAATGTTAATAGTTAAAAAAAAAAAAAGAATAAAGGAGTGTCTGGGTGGCTCAGGTGGGTAGGGTCCGACTCTTGATCTCAGCTCAGGTCTCGATCTCAGGGTTGTGAGTTCAAGCCCTGTGTTGGGCTCCACACTGACCACGAAGCCTACTTAAAAAAAAAAAAAAAAAAAAAAGAATAGAACATGCATAGTAACCCTATCACCAAGAGCCTCAAACTGGAAACTTCCCAAATACCCATCAGTAGTAGAATGGATACATTTTGGCAGGCACATACCATGGAGTACACAGCAATGAAAATGAATAAGCCAGTACAAGCAACAACATATATAAAGCTCACTGACACATCATGGAGAAAAAGAAGCCACAATCAAAATATAATTCTCTTTATAGGAAGTTCAAGAATAAGCAAAACCCATCTATGCTATTAGAAGTCAGGAGAGTTACGACTTGGGGAAGGGATGGATAATAACTGGGTCTGGGCAAGAGAAGAACATCCAGGTGTCGACAATGTTCTGTTTCTGGAGCTAGGTGCTGAGCACCTGGGTGTGAGCAATTTATGAAAATGGCGATTTATTGAACAGCACGCTTCTGAGTTGTGCACTTTTCTGTAAGGATATTATAGATCAAAAAATTTCAAATACTGGGGCACCTGGATAGCTCAGTTAGTTGAGTGTCTGACTCTTGATTTCAGCAGAGGTCTTGATCCCAGGGTTGGGGATTGAGTCCTGCTTTGGGCTCCATGCTGTCAGTTTGGGATTCTCTCTCACCCTCTCTCTCTGCTCTTTCCCCCACTTATGCTGTCTCTCTCAAAATGAATAAATAGGGGCGCCTGGGTGGCACAGTTGGTTAAGCGTCCAACTTCAGCCAGGTCACGATCTCGCGGTCCGTGAGTTCCAGCCCCGCGTCAGGCTCTGGGCTGATGGCTCAGAGCCTGGAGCCTGTTTCTGATTCTGTGTCTCCCTCTCTCTCTGCCCCTCCCCCGTTCATGCTCTGTCTCTCTCTGTCCCAAAAATAAATAAAAAACGTTGAAAAAAAAATGAATAAATAAACATTAAAAAAATTTTTAAATACTAGGGCACCTGGTTGGCTTAGTCGGTTAAGTGTCTGGCTTCAGCTCAGGTCATGATCTCATAGTTCATGAGTTCAAGCCCTGCACAGGGCTCTGTACAGCCTGCTTGGGATTCTCTCTCTCTCTCTCTCTCTCTCTCTCTCTCTCTCTCTCTCTCATTCTGTCCCTTCCCCACTTGTGTGCGTGTGCTCTCTCTCTCTCTCTAAAACAAATAAACTTAAAGGAGTTTTAAGTTTACTTAAATATACAGTAAATATACTGAAAGAATATTTTACATGCTGAAGCTTCAGAACATTATACATACATACACACAACAGGTATGTATATATAAATGAAAAAACCAGATCTTTTTTTAAAAGTTTATTTATTTATTTTGACAGAGAGAGAGAGAGAGCATGAGCATGAGTGGAGGAGGGGCAGAGAAGAGGGAAAGAGAGAGAGAGAGAGAGAGAGAGAGAGAGAGAGAGAATCTCAAGCAGGCTCCACATTCAGCACAGAGCTCAATGCAGGGCTCAACCCCATGAACCATGAGCTCATGACCTGAGCCAAAAACAAGAGATGGATGCCCAACTGACTAAGCCACCCAAGCACCCCGGATCTTTTTTCATTAGGCCAAAGAAGTGATGCCTAAGTAAAAGACGATTCCTTCTCATGCTGTTTATCATAAAGTTTTTATTTATTAAGCTTTATGCCAAACCAAACAATAAACACTTGGTTCATTCCTTGCCTCTTGCGTGTAGTTGCAATAGTAACATTCTCTTGAATAAGAAATGATTTCTTTTTATGATTTTATAAAGTTTTCATTTTCTGCCAAGGTCATTTCTTGCTCCAAACACACACCCACCCTATGCACCGAGGTTGCTCCTTGTTCCTGGCCTTTATCCAGTGCCAGTTTTCCTCAGACGGTGAGGACCTCCCGCGGGTGCAAACCACGGCAAGAACACAGCCGACAACATGAGCATTTGTGCCTGGAGGAGTCTGGAAAGCATTCCCGGAGACGTGTGTAGAACAGCAGCTTCCAGCACAAAGATCCGTCACTCATGAGGTCAAGGCTCAAGTCTTAGATGAAATGAGAGCCATGAGCTAGAGGAAAGCTCATGCTCTGATGGGATTCTGTTTTCTCTGTACACTAGTAAAGTTGTCGCTTCTTATTTACTCTGCAATTTACCAAACTCCTCTCGCCTCTTCCCCTCAACTTCTGCAATAGCCTGGGGGGCTGAGAAGGCTGAAGGCTGCTCCCCAGGAACACCCAACCCTCTCTTCCTGTGCAACACAGTGTAACTTCTCCCACCTGCTCTTAGACCCTTGGCTGCAAGATTCAGTTCACATCTCTCCTCACTGAATATACAGTTAACCCTAGAACAACCCGGGTTTGCATTACACGGGTCCACCTGCACATGGGTTATTTTCTTTTTTTTATTTTTTTTTAAATTTTTTTTTTCAACGTTTATTTATTTTTGGGACAGAGAGAGACAGAGCATGAACAGGGGAGGGGCAGAGAGAGAGGGAGACACAGAATCGGAAACAGGCTCCAGGCTCTGAGCCATCAGCCCAGAGCCCGACGCGGGGCTCGAACTCCTGGACTGCGAGATCGTGACCTGGCTGAAGTCGGACGCTTAACCGACTGCGCCACCCAGGCGCCCCGGTTATTTTCAATAAATACACTGCAGTAATATAAGTGTGTTTTCCTTACGATTTCCTTAACATGTTCTTTTCTTTGCCTTACTTTATCGTAACAATACAGTGTATATAATACATGTAAAAAAACCAAATATGTGTTAATCGACTGTTTCTGTATCAGTAAGGATTCTGGTCAACGGCAAGCAATTAATGGGTAAGTTTCAGGGGAGACAAACATTTATACACGGATTTTTGACTAACTCCTAACCCCCATGTTGTTCAAGAGGCAACTGTATTAGTGCATCCAGCAGCTGAATACCACTGCTAAACTTCCAGTTATTCCAAATGGGTCTGAAGAGTCACACAGCCCAGCCCACACTCTGTACCCACAAATCAGGAGATATCATATAATGTTGGTATTTCATGGCATGGTGTTTCAGTGAAGTTTGTTATGCAAATGGAGAAGTGGAACAGTAACAATTTGATTCAAATGATGAATAATTAAAAGGAAATCCACTGAATTTGTAGGTTTGGGGAAAGACCGGGAAACTTATTACCCCCTGAGGATCACAGAATTAGGCAATGCAAATGAATCTTAAAAAACCATTAGACCAGCTTTTTGCTTTCAAGTTTGGTGGTTCCAGGGCTCAGTCCTTGGTCCTCTGCTCTCCGATAAATGCTCTCTGCCCTGGTAATTATTATTATTATTATTTTTTTAAGTAAGCCGTACACCCAACATGGGACTTGAACTCATTACCCCTGAGATCAAGAGTTTCACGTTCTACTGACTGAGTCAGCCAGGCACCCCTCCCTCCCCCGGCAATTACTTCAGTTCCATGTCCTTAAACATCGTCCATACACCGATCACTCCCAAATCCTCTCTCTAGCCCAGAGTTTTGTCTACTTATTCAACCACTTACTCAATTTGGGGACATCTAGGGGAAATGTTGGCATTAACGTGGCTACACTTCACTCCTGTCCTTCCACGCCTGCACGGCTTGTTCTATAGGCAGTCTCCTGTAGCCCACCAAGTGTCAACTCCCTCTGTTCAATTGCTGTCGCCAAAAACCCTAGATTCATCCTCGCCTTCTCTCTTTGTCTCACTTTCCATACCCTATCCACCAGGAAATCCTGTTGGCCGTACCATCAGAATGTATCCATGATCTGTGTTCTTTTATGTGATGGGCAGTCAGGGGTGGCCGCCTGAAGAGACACAGGAAAAGCTCAGAAAAACAAGGTTTATTATGCTCAGAGATCCTAGAAGCAGGAAGTGTGACAGGCCACACAGGGCCATATGAGGAACACCAGGTTTTAGTCAGGGGAAGGAGACAGGAAGATGGGGGGAAATCTAGGCCAGAGCTTTTACAGTGCTTTCTGTAGGGAAAGCAGGGCAGGGCAGGGTAAATAGTTTAGGATTGCCAAATTTGAATAATTTCTTAGGGTTTGAGCTATAAGGGTGGTCCCTAGTTATATATTTGTGTGTGTGTGGTTTTAATTGCATTTATTTATTTTTTTTAAGTAATCTTCATGCCCAATATGGGACTTGAACTCGAGATCAAGAGTTACATGCCTTTACTGACTGAGCCAGCCAGGCGCCCCGGCCCCAGTTGTACATTTGTATATGTGTGTGTGTGTGCGTAACATTTCTTCCTTTTCTGTCTTCCTCTAAATGGTGAAGGGACTGGCCTAGACAACCGTCTTTTCTTCTTTTTTCATTTACCTATTTCTCCAGTTGATTTCACCTTGTCCCATGGCTTTAAAATCTACCTCTTTATGGACAACTCTTGGAAAAAGCAAAAGTAAAAAACAGCAAGGGAATTGCTTAGTACTGTGCAATGGCAGTGAAGGAGGGTACCAGTTCAGATTTCACTTGGGGGCACAATCTTTAAAGCACTCTTTGGTGAACTTAGAGCAGAAATTAAAAAGCCTTTATTCAAAGTAAAGACTCTACATAGAACAAGTGGCCCAGAGTGTGAAATTGATTATCCTATCTTTTTCTACTACGTAGAGATATTTCCCACTGGAAGAATTTAAGAATGCAAATGTGCTCTGCTGGCCCACATGTAAGAGCAGGCTGTCCAGCCCAGCTGGATTTCTGGGAAGTAACAGAACCTCTAAAGAAGGTTAGGGCCATTGTTCTCAGCTAGGGCTCTTTTGTCTCCAGGGACATTTGGCAATGTCTGGACACATTCTTGATTGTCACAACTCGGGGTGGGGGGTGCGAGCAGTGCTTAGTGGGTAGAGGCCAGGGACGCTGCTAAACATCCTATAATACAAAGAACGGCCCCCACGACAAAGAATCACCTGGCCCCAAATGTCAAGGGTGCTGAGAGTGAAAAATCCTGGGCCAGGGGTAAGTACCTTCTTTCCCTATCTCCACCCCTCAACCGCATCCCATGTGGATCTCTCTTCGCTGCAATGATCTGAATTAAACAGTTACGGCTCTAGCAACTTAGACAACTAGCTTTCACAGTCCAGGTGTGGGTTTCTGAAGCAGCTAATCTGCGAAGATTGCCACCCGTGAGGCACACCTCCTGGTATTCACACCCTCATGCAGTCCTCCACTCTTGAATCTCAAAGGCACTGTGACTCACTCTAACCCGTGGAATGTCACCAACGTGACGCTCTGCCTGAGGAGAGCCTGGGGGCTTCTGCTTGGGTGCGTTGGACAGCTCTGAGGTGCCGTGTAAGACAAGAAGTCAACTACCTGGCTAAGGAGACCAAATAGAGAGGCTACGTGGAAAGGACATATGGACAAGGAGAGGCTCTGAAATTACAGAGAGACAGACAATCAGAGAGACAGGGCGGTGGGGAGAGACAGAGATGGAGTGAGGGACAGAAAGAGAGAGAGAGAGAGAGAGAGAGAGAGAGAGAGAGAGAGAAAGGCCAAGTATGCCAGCCCAGCCCAGCCTTCCAGCTGTTCCTGCCAGGCATTAGGCAAGAGAACCTGTTGAGCCTGCAGATACCTGCAGCACCAGGGGAGACCACAGAGGACAGAAGTCCTGCCTGTCTGAGCCCAGGCCACTCACAGAATTGGAAGAGATAACAAAAAGGCTGTTGTTTTAAGCCACTGTGTTTTGAGGTAGTTATTTACACGGCAATAGACAATTACAACCGCTTCTATTTTCGGGCACCTGGGTGTCTCCATCAGCGACATATCCCTGGATTTCAGGTCAGGTCATGATCTCAGGGTTCGGTAGATCAAGCCCCACGTCAGACTCTGTGCTGACAGCACGGAGCCGGCTTGGGATTCTGTCTCTCCCGCTCTCTCTGCCCCTCCCCCGTTTGCACATACGCATGCTCTCCCTCTCTCTCAAAATAAATAAATATTTTTTAAAACCTTTTTATTTTCTTGAAAATGAGATGATGGGACAAGATCATGATATCACAAATTCTTTTTATTTTTATTTATTTATTTTTGTTTTTTTATGCTTATTTATTGATGTTGAGAGAGAGTCCATGTGTGTATTTGTATGCACACAAGTTAGGGAGGGGCAGAGAGAGAGAGAGAGAGATGGACAGCATCCCGAGCAGGATCCACGCCCTCGGTCCAGAGCCCCAAACAGGGCTCAATCTCACAAACTGTGAGATCATGACCTGAGCCAATATCAAGAGTCAGACACTTAACTGACTGAGCCACTCAGGTGCCCCTCACAAATTCTTCTTAGCCTCAAAATCCTCGATCTAAACAAACTTTTATCTAGAAGCACAATATGTATGTATCTGCTAAGAATGCTTTTTTTTGGATGCAAGTGACAAAAACCCAATTAAAATAGTTTAAGCAATAGTAGTTTCCTTTCCATATGTGGCAAGAATTCTGGGGCTAGATGGTTGCTAGATTTGGTTCAGTGGCTCCTCGAGGTCTGATCCAATGTTTCCAATGATTTCAGACATTCCCATCATGCTCATGGTCGCAAGGTTACTGACATGACACCGGCATTGAAGGGAGGAAGAAAGGGAAGGTCAGTACCAGCCACGTAAGCGTGTTTTTAATAAGGGAATCAAAGTTTCACAAAACTTTGAGCGTCAGGGACTTCTCATGTGTCATGGGACAACAATGGGTCATATGCCAGGCCACAACTGCCAACAAGACTGGGAAATTGAGGGACAGCGTTGTTGTGAATGACTTTGATCATAGGCCACAGCTTGGAGTGGGGCCCGTTGCCACTGCACACAAAATCAAGATGCAGGAAGGAAGAAACGGGATGACTACGGAGCAACAGATAACTAGCTTCTGAAACAATATGGAAAGCACAAGATGGAGATGATCTGACTAATTTAGAGGAGGAGGGTCTTGATTCCTGTCAATTCAGCCTCGCTTTCCTCGCTATTGTCCTCTACCACTGTGAAATTCCAAGGGGGCCTCCAAGAAAACCCCGGAACTCCAGAAAGCCAAGACAAAAAAGCAAAAAAACCCCAAAAACCCCACTTGACTCTATCTTAACATTTCTTTCTGCTCTGACCTTCTAGAATCTTGGAAGAACTTGCATATTGGAGGAATCGTAAGATCAGCGTGGATGGACTGGAAGGGGGCGGGGGTGGGGGGGGTGGGGAAGGAACTGCATGAGCCAAGAGAAGCAAAAGCATGTTCATTTGTCCGTAGCTGCCTTCTCTGACCTCATCTTCCCCAGGATCCTTTTCAAGGACTCGCTCTGGTTTCACTTTTGTTTTCTTTGAGGGTTGAGAGCTAGAAAGGCCAGATCCAAAGGCTTGTTGAAGAGATGATAAGAGAGAGTTTATGGATGAATCTTCCCAATGCTCTTTC